GGGAACCTATACACTTAGGCATGCAGAATGTTATTACTTTTAGGTTAGGAATTGATAAGACTAACTGATGGCATACACCAATTTGACAATTCATCTATCTAAGCAAAAATATGAAGAAAAATGTGACGATATACGCCACTGGTTGACAAAATTAAGAAATGAAAACTCTATGTGATTACCCTGATTAATCTGGATCGGTATACTTGAGTTTCATATTTTTTGCTACAGGGGTTCTGGAGAAATTTATAGAAATCTCAACTTTTTTTTGTACTTTCGGCACCCTGTATCTCAGTGAGGATGTATTTTAGGACAAACGTTGATAGGAATCTGTGAACGGAGTTTGTCGGTCTTATTCTGACTCACCCTGTATATGGAGTAGGAACAATGTTGGTGCCAAAATTGATCCGCGTGGAATAAATAAATAATTTATAATTATCCCAGCAACCAGTGAACTTGCGGAAGAAGTCCGTCCTAGTGCAGGGAAATCTGGTAAAGTGATATCTCCTATGGCACGACGCAACCTTAGAAAAATAGACTCGACGCAACAGACTCTCCTGCATTAGAGCACCAAGTCACCAAGTGCTGAATATTCAAGCGTCTGAATGCAGAATCTGTGACCAAGTTCTGGATATTGAAGCGTCTGAATGCAGAAAACTTTCCCACAATAAATGTCGCGTCATGAGGGAATATATCTACTTACTATAAAAATCGAAGTCGTGTTCGTTCTGTTTCGTTTATTATTTCATTGTAGTCCCTTCTGATTGTGTAACAACAACATTAAAATTCGTGGAGATGACTTCGCGCATGCCTTCCTTCTTTGAAAAATTTCACTCCACTTTTGGACTTCTACCAAAGATTTACTATTTGATTTGTTGATTATAACAATTAGTCAACGAAATATCAACATCAAACAAAAACCAACCTATATATATAAAAAGAGTCTTACTGTCAGATGCCTGCATCACATTTTATCCTATCTAATCTTGAAACTGATGAAATACTTCGGAGTTCAGAGTAAGTTTAATGTGATCAGCACTGAATTACTAATCAACTAATCACATACTACATAGTAATTTAGTATCATTACATTCTTTGCACCTTGCACCATCTTGAACATAGAATCAATTCAAGTATTTTATAGAGACTTGGCAACAGCGGCGTGCTTCCCAACCGTCAGAACTCTAACCAATCGAATTGCAAGAAGACACTGACATCACAGCTCAGTAGCGTTAGAATTTATAGGTATTGAAATTGCATTTTCAATATCAAATGATTCATTTGTTGTTCGGTATTATCGATAAATATGTTGTAGGGATAACGTTTCTGACTTCCCTTCATAACATTATAAGCGAAAAGGGGTAAATTTGTACGATACTGGAAAGGCCCATTCTGTGATCCGTAATTCACCTGTGAAATACAATGTTGCGATCGGATGGAACCTGAGAAGCAGCCATCAATTTGAAGCGTTCAACCAGTCTTCAATTCAGCCAAACCATTCCGAGGGCAGTACAGATCAGGGTGAGTCACTGATATCCTTCATATTGGTAAATTCAAATTCACTTGAAAAGCATACTGTTTTATACATTCTGATTCTGAGGTATAATTTCATATTGCGCATTCTATATTCCGCTCATAACCATACCTACATTCTACTATTCATAATTCATTCGATAATTGTCAAGTAATCAGAATAATAATCATGCCACCTCCACAATGAGATCAAATCACCCTGCTAAATCACAAACGGTTTCAAAGCACAAGTAACATGATTCTCTAATCATGTTCATTCTGAGGAAGCATCTGAGAATATTCATGAAATAATAGCCAGACTTGATTCATTGTCTGGTATCTTGAACAGCTTCAACGAGATACAATGTGACATTGAACTCATGAGTAATGGCGAAATTCAAGAACCGCGTGAAACATTTGAAAGAGACTACTTTCAATCCATAGGTGCAGCAAAAAGAATTGTTCGATGATAAACGTATAAGTGAGTCTCAAACTGAGACGAGAATTCCGAATACCGGCGCTGCAACTTCCTGAATTTCGCGGCTCTTACAATAAGTGGATTTTCTTTAATGAAACATTCAGCTCTCTCATTGATACCAATGATCAACTATGAGCTTGAAGGGAATAGCCGCACGAATTGTTGCATCCCTAGAAACATCTGAAGCTAATTATACGATTGCATGGGACATGTTGAAGGAACGTTTCGAAAATGAAAAACTGATTATTCATACACACGTTATAGCATTATTCGATCTTAATCCCTTTACAACAGAATCTCATAGACTCGGAAAATTATTGGTTGGAGTTACTAGAAATCTCGAAGCACTCAAGGCATTTGACGAGCCAACAGATTCGTGGAGTACACTACTGATATTCATTATCGCAAAACGAGGATGGGAGGAAGAATCAGGTTCTTGATTCCAAACCGACCATGGCACAATTTTCCAAATTTCTGACTCAAAACTGTTGAAAATTAGCCGAGGTTCTGCAAAATCAACGCCGGCCTCAGATAAAGATATTTAGTCATGTTTCTACTCAAAGAAAATCAATAGCATGTTCATTTCGAAATAAGAATCATTCAAATCAGTTGTTAGATATTCATTTGGTATAAGTACTAATTTGAAATAATAATTTTTTGAGAATGTGTTCATTAAAATGAATCACAGAATCATTTGATTTGCATAAAACACTTCTTCGCAATTTTTAATATTTTCACAAAACAAATGTTTACAAACGGACTGTTTGCTTCCAAACGTTTCTCAAATGCATTTGGTTTTATCCATGTTTATACTATGAGCAGAAAGCAAGCGCACTCTGTTACATTCTTCGGCTCCGTCATGCACAGCTACGCCCCCTTTTATCGCATCAAATAGTACCCGCAATGCTTCTCTGTCATATATCGTTGCTTGCTCCAATTTTTCAATTTGAAAGCCTGGCAAAAGTGGCAACCGTTATTCATGAACTGATTTTGCAAAGCAACCCTATATCAGTGCAATTATTAATATCAACTTGCCAGTTTGCACACGGCAACCAGGTAATAGGGACCATAAACATATAAGCAACCTAGCTGTTCCATATTCAATATGTTTCGTTCGTTCGGCAAGCAAGTCGGTGAAATTTTAAAATTTGTATTTATCATAGCCATGAAAATATTTTTCATGGCAACCTTATATATGTTCAGAAACATATTTTATTTTATGAAATATAATTTTCATATGGTAAAGGGATGGGTACTTGATGGTACAATCCCACGGTTTCGGTATGTATAACACTTATTGTGCATTAGGAAATTAAAACTCAGATAAGTTTTCATCAATATAGAAATATAATTGGAAATAACAGAGTTTTCAGAAGCAGTACAATACTACAAGTAGGATATTAGATCAATGGGTCAATGATTACTGCAGATGAATTGATGTGGAAGTAGTGGAATCGTGGCAATTGAAATTGGGTAGACAATTTCTCTCCAGATTCTCGAACAATATTTCTGAAATCACCTCTACTTCGACTAAATCACACAAACCGGATGTTTCAGAGAAGTGGCTGGCCCTATTTCCTTTTTTGTAAGTATGCATAAATACATAACACTATCATTTATGATATAGATTTGTGTCACTTAGTGTTCGGAAACATGAGTAAGAGTGAGTAAGATATATGACAGGTCCTAAATGCGCATTTTTCATTCGAGATAGTTCTATCTCGTAAATGGACGAGCATTTGTCTTATCATTTTTTACGGCATTAGTGATCTAGATAATAAATCATGTCGGTGACCTCAGACCTCATCCACCTAGTAAGTAACCATCGAGTAAGTATTCAATTTCGGGTCAACATTCACCCATAAAACGTTTTCATAGATTAAGGTAGAAGGTAAGTCAGAGTCACAGTAACTGCAACTTCAGAAAACCGAAGGAAATATAGAATGATTCAAATTTATGAAGCATTTGCCTATAGGACAGGTGGCCTGAATATTACAGCGTGTACGCTGACGTCACTCCTCGTGTTCATGGATGTTTGTCCCAAAATGATTCTCTAGAAATGAATCAAAATGAGATGTTGACATTTTTGAAATGTATAAAATCATACTATTTATTGTAAGATATATAATGTAGTTATGATGGAAAATAATCGTTTATCTCGGTTTCATCAAAGAAACTGCAATAGCACAAAAAGTATGAGACGAATATAAGGAAATTAGTATGATTTGAAAGGGAATTCAATTTTGCATTACATGGAAAGAAAAAATATTGGGTGTTCTATTTGTATTAACTAAGTTATCTTAATTTGAAGTCATAGTGAGTGTACCTGACGATCTAAAACACTCTGTATAATAGTTATAGACCACTTAGGCCACATCTATTTATTCCAAGGATTCGAAGTACACTGTGGAAAATTGGTACATTTTAATTATCGGGGTCCAATGATATCAAGCTCTGTCTGAGAATTAGGTATAGAGAAAACTTTAGCAAAGTCAGTTTGATTATCATTGTAGAATCCAAAAATATAATGAAATATAGGGTGTTCCATTTAAAAAGTACAACTTTGATATACCACCCTTTTTTGAGACACTCTGGATTCATCGCACCATTTTTAAAATATGGTCCAGATCGACATACATAAATTATCAATGAATAAAAATAAAATTATTTCTCAGAAAGGTATACATTATAGCCCGATGCGTTCAGCTTGACTCACCCTGTATATTGTAAAACCAGTAGGATTCATCAGAAATGAAGAACAAGTTCTCGTCGGATGGAGCATGCAGTCCCGATTACGTCACTTAAATGCGACCTTGGATACTCATAAGACCACCTGCCTATTTAATAAAAATCTTGGGAAAAATTGACCAAAACTGAATGAACTATGAAATAGCACTAATGGTCCAACCATACCCTACTTTTTCATAGTTTTGATGTAATTCCAATACTTTTTAATCACTACAATTATTATTATTCACAAATTCACTGAAATGTAATTCAAGATCAGTCATTCAAATTATAACTATACTTTCACTGAGGTACAGGGCCATTGTCGTTCTGATTATAACTAATAAATTATTATTCACTAAGCTACAGGGTGACCCATGAAGTAGGCTTAACATGAATTGCAATAAAAAGTTCACAGATACATACTAAAATATAACAGAATTTTCTGCTTGAAGTCAAAATTCACTGAATAGGGCAAGAAAAAAAGTTATATACATATATAAAAAAAGAAACGCTTGTCCTCTATGTTTATAAGTCTGTGTTAATAGCTTAATCAAAAAATTCCAAATTGATAATAATAACAATATTCATGGACATCCCAAATATAAGAAACTTTTTTCATCATTGTAGGTTAACGTGCTCTTTTTCAGTTGATATAAATTGTACATCATGTTATTCACTCCTCAAATTAAAATATGAAACTGGTGAATTCAAAACAATAATTGATGAAAACACCTCCATTTGTATCAAATTCTTTCACAGAGTGTCAATAGCAGAAAAAAAAACATTTTTATTTATTTTATCCGTTCTTGAGTTTGAATATATTTCACACCTTCCCAAAACTAGGTGGCGATAAACTATACTGGTGTGGAATGCACTTTTCTGAAGAATAATCTAATACATTTGTATGAAAGTGATATTTTTTTCATTCAAAATAAATGACCTGTTGACCATATTTCAATTGGAATAGGTTAGACATTTTGTGCTATTTGTTGGCAGCAGCTACTATCAAATTGACTATCATTTGTAGAATGCATTGTCTTTTGTCCAAGTCAAATTTAGTTAGATGAACGGAGAATTCAAGGAGTTGTAATTAACAATTCAGAGTATGTGATCTTATAAAAATGCAATGATTTCGACAGTGGCGCCGATCCTATTCATATTTGACATTTGACACCGTTGAAGCCAACCTTACAATACGAATTATCTAACCCTTGAAAATATGGTCAATTACATCCTATAAAAATGATTTTTTGTTGGCGATCAGATATATATCTGAAAAAGTGCTCAATAAAGATCATGAACAAATAACAGTATATAACCTATCAACGTCATTGTCATGTCACAAAGTTACGTCAATTTTTAAATAGGTACTGTAATCCGAAATTGTATCATTTATGTCAAACAATGGATGCATGTAAATTCAATAAGTGGTACAAGCGCTTCATCAAAATCCTTAATATAAGGAAACAATAGTAAACATATTTTTGCTTGAAGACCATATAACGGTCCGAGTTTCACAGAAAACTAAAAATTTCAACTAACACCGATTCGATTGTTGTTTTGAACAAAATAATATTCGAAGTAGCTAGAACGTTTCCATGATATTAAGTTCTAGCCTAATTCAAGGATCACCATGTAAAAATTACAATTAATTTGCTAACCAGGGATGGTGTATCAAAGATTCCTTCGATCTATCTCCATAGTCATACAGAACTTCTTCGCCTTTGCGAATATCATCTTTAGCTACTAGTACCAGTCTCGGGATATTGTCGATGGAGATGGTCCTTGTTACGAGATTTCCGTTCCTAGAATGGTTCACTAATCGACCTAGTCTTCCAGTTTCTGCAGTCGCATCGATACTGTGGAAAAAATATAAGGATTCAAGTCTTAGAATTATAATAATAATAATAATAATATGCCTTTATTCACACGATTGATATGGTAATAACAATAAACAAAAATAAGTCCTAAATTAATAACATAATCATATGAAGGGGCGGAATTCAGTTACCCATATCCAAAGACACTGGTATCTGCTCTTCCATTCAACCCCATAATAATCAAGTACAGTATGTTCACGAATCGAAAACATTTACTTATCTCAACACAATGTATACGAAATTAGCAGTAGACTTAACAAGAATTCATAGTTTACTGTTCATATATTAGTTACTTATATATAAATCAAGAACATTAGCATGGTTCTATGACAAAAAGCTGAAGAAAATTAAAGCTAAAGATAATAGAGAAAGAAAAATAAAAAAAATAAAGGAAAATACAAAACAAAAAAGCATGAATTGTGACTATAAGACAAAAAATAGACAAACAAGGAAATGGAGGCAACCAGGGAGCCTGCGTAAATAGGTTTTCATTCGACATCTAATTGCAACTTTCATTATCTAATTTCCTTCACTTAGCGACAGAATGTTCACTCAATAGACAATCGACCTTCGAATATGATTTTTCTTACTGAACTTTTGAATTTAATTTTATTCATAGATTTCAGCGTGTCCGGAATAGCGTTGTAGATTTTGGAAGACGTGTACGATCGTTTGAAAAGTGAGGTGTGATATTTTGGTGGAGTCAGGCGAGATCGATATCTAGTGTTAATCGTATGAACGTCTTCTCTGAATGATAGTTTTTTGAATAAATAAATGGGTACCCTGGAGTGAATGACATCGTGGCAAAAACAACTCATATGCAGGAGCCACCTCTGCTTCATAGTTAGCCAATTGGAATTTTTTATTCTGTGAGAAATGGCGTTGCATTTTCTTACACCATAAAGGAACCGTGCACAGGCATTCTGTACATACTGAATGCGATTTTGATCGTGTTTTGTCAAGCATGGAAAATATAGAATATTCGCGTAATTGAAATGGCTGAGGACAAGGGAGTCACATAAAATTTTCTTCGTTTTAGTATCGAGTATTTTGGAAAAATTATAGATAAGTTTGAGATTGCAATAAGCCGTTCTAATAATCTTTGTTACGTGGTCACTAAATCTCAAGTCACTATCTATAATTACTCCCAAATTTCTTGCCGAATCAACAATATCCAAAGGCTCAGAGTCAATAGAAATATTAATTGTTTCTCGAAGTTGGTTTCGGTGGTTCTTATTGCCAAAAATCAGTAACTTAGACTTGGTGGGATTTATAAGCAGACAATGATCTTTCGATGCCTTTTATTCATTTTATTTATCTAGATTCATGATGAAAGTATTTCATGTTTGATTGAGTCAAATGACTTAAATAGCTACGTTTCTGGTAGACAAATACGTGTGCCATCACCTTACAAATACTCTTACCCCAGTGAGCTATCATTGGCATTATATTAACAGTTTTCAATGGTAAATCATAGAAACGACCCGTGTTAACGCCAATATTGGCGAAGCTTATTGCTTTATAATTGTTGGCCCAGTGCATTCCCAATGAGAATTAAATGGTTTATTCTTACCCAAATAGTTTGAGTTTATGTAGAAAAAATATTTTTTCTGCAACCGACACAAAAGTCGTCCATTTTGATACCAAAATTAGCTCTTAAATTGACGTTTCTATTACTGACACAAAAATAGACATGTTGCTAGGCAACATATTTAGTTCCTAGGAGCTAAAGTGGAATTTTAGTGCCTAGGAGCTAAAGTTCAACTTTAGCTCCTAGGAACTAAAAAAAATGTACTGAACGTTATCAAGAATAAACAACATTGTGACGGTTGGTTATTTGGGTTGAGACGCATACCTGATTTTTTTCCGATTTCAGCAGATTTGGAATTTCATACCCATGCTGGAGATATAAATACACCTTATTATAGTTTAGTATTGGAATTATAAACATCTCAGTTAAGTATTTTTGTTTTGATCAGGGAAGCCTTCAAGATTCAAATACTTGCTTGATCTGTATTTCATTTGTTATTCTCGGGATGGATAACTTGTTTTTGAATAATCACGGCAAGCAATACTTTTTTTGTCTCAAACAACGATATTGTTTAGCTTCATTAGATTATCAAGTCAAACGCAGTTTAGTATGGAGAGGAATAAATAATCACTATTATCATTGTTGATATGCTCACTAACCTAACATTTTCCACGTCTTTGTTCCTATAGGTGGCACTGGCGCGGTATTTGCCATTAGAGTACCTGGTCCATACACAAGTATGTGGTTGTATTTATATTGAAACTACAATTCGAACATCCTTGATTTGTCAATATTTGTTGCATTGCATACATAAGGCACGGCATTGGTGGTTACTTCACATATTTATTTGAGTTAATTGTTTCGGTTGCAGAAAAAACAGCATGTTTCATTCGGATCAAAAGTGACACTTTGTTTGACAAGCGAATTTTGCATTTGCGAGGCGGAGCGTCTAGCGAAGCCGAGCGAAAGCAAAATTTGCTTGTCAAACAAAGTGTCACTTTTGATCCTAATAAAACAATCTACTATTTTTACTCATAATAATGTTTGTGGGCAAGCGCTTCCCCCCTGCCCCCCTTGCGGACGCCACTGAATAAAATAACTTGATCATCAGTTTACATTATTTGCGGTGCAATAAAATTAATGAGGGCTAACATTATTTATTGTCCGCCATAGTTGGAAGACCTGATAAATATATTTGTTCTTTTTGTGTCATTTGGTCTCTTCCTACGATATCTTCTTCTCCGTAAATGTAAGAATAATTACAAAACAATTGTTCGTAAAGTTCCACATTGAGAGTAAAAAACGTAAGATTGGTCAAATATTTCCATATCTAGAGGTTTTCTATTTGATTGAATTGATTTATTCCCTCACAATTGAGTAAAATACAAAATGGCGGTGCGAAGACCGCATTTTCTTTGAGTATATTTTTTATTAATATTCGAAGGTGTATAAAGTATCCCAGGTTCAGGTTATGACGTCAAACAATTCCTTCATATCCCCATATTTATTGTGAAAATTTGAAATGACTGCAAACTATTCGAAATTACCTCCGTTAACCGCATACACACAAGGATCATTGACCAAGGACCAAGGGAAAGCCATGGGAGAATCCCACAGGGATCAACTCTCTTTCCCCTACTTTTCAACATATACTCAACTTCCATCACCAAATGTGTATCAGGGGGTGTCTAAATTCTCGGATATGCAGACGATATCTCACTAATATGTACAGGCATTAATACAAAAAAAATAATTGAACAAATGGATGAATCACTTCAGAAAAATCAATATGGATAGGGAAAAATGACATGGAAATATCAGCAGAAGAGTCGGCAACAATTTTTTTACCATGGGGAGAGAATTCAGTCAAAAAGATGATATAATAAAGTACAACATTGAAACAATAAAATGGGTGGCAAATAACAAATATTTGGGGGTAACGTTTGACAAAAATATGAAATGGGAACAGCACGTAAATGAACTGATAGCTAAAGCACAAAAAGAAACGAGCCTCATGAGAACATTGGTGGGGAGCAGTCCCCACATGTCAAACAAACATTTATGATGCAATATTCAGAACACATTTGGATCACAGAATATTGGTAGTTATGAAGGAAACCAAAAAGCTGTACAATAAATTAGAAAAAACCCAATTAATCATTCCAGAATTACGTCATTTGACAGGTTGCTGAGGGGCAAACATAGTATTCTGCCATGATCTGTCATAGAAAACCAGAATTAGCGAGATTGTTTTCCTTGGAATCCGAGTTGGAACTAGAAAGAATTTCATAATTTTGTTTGGTGAAACTGTTATTATATTGTGGATGTGGCAGAGGGACGGCCTGGGCAATCCTCATCAAAGGTTACCTAACAGATAGTTTGTGTGCCCCTCAAGAAACCATGTCAAAATCGTGTTCTGGAATGATCAATACCAGGAACTCAGGATTATAACAGGGTGCATGAGATCCACCCCCAGAACTGTACTACTAGCAGAAACAGTACAACTTCCGCTACCAGAGAGAAGGATTATATATATTTCAAACATAATAAGAAGCAACAATGCAAAATTTGAAAGCTTACAAAGACTGTAAACAGGGTGTTACATAAGTACGTTGAAATATTTGAGTGACGTATTCCTGAGACAATTTTAAGGAAAAAAGTCTACATAAACTTGTATCCGGAAATGCTTCGTTTTGGAGTCACAGAGTGTTGAAATTGAATTTGTTTGTTTGCTTTTTTGAAATAACTTTTGAAAATAACAAGTTTTTTTGCATGAAATTTGGTACCCGAAGTTTTTTTGATGTGGGAAATCATAATTTCGTATTAATTTTCATGTAACATCTACAGGGCGCTCCGTACGCTGTCATTATTCATTTCAAATTGCCAATCTTCAGAGCAATGGATTTATCCATGACAAACATACACATCGTAAAAAAAAATTGAAACGATACCATGTTATAAATTTGATTATGAAACACAAATGACAGAGATAGACTACCACAATTCAGGTCTAGATAAACATCAACAATCGAATCAACAAAAATTCATGAATATCTGGCACGAAAAATTCGAGGGAACACAAAGAATACATACAGATGGATCAACAGATGAAGAAGGAAAAACAGGAGTAGGGATATATTCCAACGACCTGAATATAAGAATAAAAGGAAGAATACCTGATAACACGAACATATGTACAGCTGAAATGGCGGCAATACACATGACAATTAAGAGGATAGTAGAGATGAAAATAGTAGATAGCCTAATAATAACCGACTCTTTGTCAGCAGAAAAATTACAAGAAGAGGGATCCACAGTGAAAGTCACTGGATAGAGCTGTCAACAAAAAAAAGTAACCCAAGCAAACCTGAATTGACGTAATATAAACATAATGTGAGTACCAAGCCACACAGGAATAATAGGCAACGATAAAGCAGATGAACAAGCCGCAGAAGGAAGAAAACTCGCAACATACCAAATAATGAAGATGGATAGCAAGAATTTTATACCAAAAATGAAGAAATATATATGGGAAGAATAGATAGATAGATAGATAGATATTTATTCATCATTGAAGTTTACACATATAGTTACATATAAACTTATCAGACTAGTCAAGTTCCATTCTCTCTCCCCATTCACAAAACAAAACACTGTATACATACATTTCCATTCAATCTCTCACACATACATAAATGTAAATAGAATAATTCGATCATCTCGAAGTTAGATACTCCTCAATGGAATAAAATGCATTTTGACATAAATAATTGAATATTGTTGTTTTGAAAGTATTGAAATTTTTTATCTCACCAAAAATATTGTTGAAATGATTAAAACATAATATTCCTTGATATATAGGAGAGTTCTGTCCAACAGTAAGCCTTGAAAATGGTAAACGAAGGTCATTCTTATTTCGAGTATGGTGATGGTGAATTTCATTACTTTTGATGTACATATCCTGCTCTTTTTTTATATTCAATGTCAAAAGGTATACATATAGAGATGGTAAAGTGAGAACTGACAGGGCTTTAAAGTAATCCTTACATGATACATCGTTTCGAATACCCATCATGCATCTTATTATTTTTTTCTGTGCAATAAATACTTTGTTACTATGTGGTGAATTTCCCCAGAAGATCAAACCGTAACTTAGTGCCGACGATACTAGTCCATGGTATGCCATTCTGAGAACATCGAAAGATACAGTGCCCTTCAGCTGTCTGATAATGAAATTGATACTGCTTAATTTTTTTACCAGATTTTCAATATGGTCTCTCCAACTCAACTTTTCATCAATTGTAACGCCAAGAAATTTTATACTTGAGACTTGTTCTATTGATTTATGATTTACTTTCACAAGAGGGCTCGCATTACAACTGATGTTTTTCCGCAGGAAAAGCATGAAATAGGTTTTTGAAATATTCATGATCAATCCATTATCAAGACACCATTTGAAGAATTCTTCTGCACATACATTACTTTGATGTATGGTTTCGACTAAATTATCATGAGATATTATGTGATTTGTATCGTCGGCATAAATAATGGTGTTTCGAGGCGAACTACACGATAAAATCATGTCATTTACAAATATGATGAAAAACAGCGGGCCAAGTATTGAACCTTGTGGTACACCCATGGAAACACCACTTGACTCTGATTTGAATGAATCTATAGTGACAATTTGGGTCCTATTAGATAAATAGGAAGCAACCCAGCTATTGGCTACTCCACGAATTCCAATTCGATTCAATTTTTGAATGAGAAGATCATGATTCACAGTATCGAAAGCTCTACTGAGATCGAAATATAAAGCAATTGGGTGTCCTTTATCGTTCAAGCTAGAATAAATAGCATCACATAATTCTTTCATAGCTGTCTCCGTAGATTTATTAGGCCGAAATCCATGTTGTGAGTTATTCAACAATTTATGGTTTTCCAAGAAGTTGCTAAGACGCTTATTGAAACAATAATCAATCGATAAAAAAAAAAAAAAAAAAAATTGTGGGTATCTTCCTTGGAACCCTTTTTCTTATATATTGGTACTGATTTCGATACTTTTAGTTTTTCTGGATATGTTCCTGTACAGAATGATTCATTAATTATATGACATAACGGAACAGATACTATATCACAGACAGCCTTCAAGGCCTTACCATTTATTTCATCGATTCCTGCAGCTGCCTTTGAACATACTTTATTTATTGTTTCTTCTATCTCAAGTGGTGTTGTTGGAGTGATAAAAAAAGTTATATTAGAAAACGGCTCTAATTTCACAGTTTCAAAATTAGGATCACGACTTTGGATGTTCATAAATTCTTTCTGAAATTCGTTACAAATCGCAGTTTTATCTGTAATAATTTGATTGTGTCCAATAATTTTACTAATGTAATTTCTTGGTCCACTGCTTCTCATCTCATTTATAATTTTCCAACTTTCTTTTGAAATATTATCTGCGTTACAAATTCTGTCATTATTATAGTTAGATTTCGAATGCTTCACCATGTGCTTGTATGTATATTTCAGCTGTTCGTACCTACTCTTTATCACCTCATTTTTGGTAGCCTTGTATATTTTTGTCATTTCAACTAACATTTGGTGCATTTGTTTCAATTCATTTGAGAACCATGGCTTATCAGTTTTTCTACATTTAACTGATGTTACAGGAAATGCCATATTGTAATGATGCGATAATATTTCATAGAAAGCACTGAATTTAGTATGTATTGTGTGAGACTCATAAACCTCAGCCCAATTTTCTGACACCAGAATATCTCTGAATGCTCTAAGATTATTGAGAGTAAAATGCCGCTGTGTTATATACTCCGCCCTATTCTTAAACTTCTGCAACTCAAAACAGCATTGTTGGAATGTATGATCTGATAAATGAGTATCTTCAACAAGAACTGATGCTAATTTCATATTTGAAAAAATCACATCAATCCCAGAAGAAGTGGTATGCGTGATACGTGTGGGTTTATCAATGTGATTCGTCATCCCAAACTCATTAAATAGATTGCATATTTTAGCTGATTCTCTGCTTTCACCTTTCAAACAATCCACATTGATGTCGCCACATACTATGTAGTAACACTCTTTCTGGTATATGTTATTCATCAAATCATACATTCCATCTATGAAAAAGTCAATATTACTTTTCGGTGTTCTGTATGCAGCAATTATAAATAACTTAGATTTTCCTTCTAAAACATCTAAAATAGCTATACTAATTTCGAAATGTGTTTCTATACAATTCATGAATTCTAATGGCTTGGAATAGACCAAGAAATGGAATAAATCAATGGCAGAAACTATCACATAATAGAAAACATACCACCAAAACATCCATTGTATAAAAAATTAGAGGAATAAATCATAAGAGAATTGTTACATTTAAGACTAAGATCATCCCATTGTAGCGTTCCAGAGCACCTATACAGGATAAGAGTTATCGAAAGCCCTAGATGTTAGTGTGAAGAAATAGGAACAACTCAGCATGTGCTTCTAGAATGTCCTGATGATATAGAAAACTGTGACGAGCTGTACCATTCCATAGACAAGAAAGAACCATCCCCAACTAACGCAAAAAGTATAGTGTGCACACCAACATTTGAAATATAATTAACTGATACATAAATGCAAACATTTAAAAAGTAAATAGGTAACCAGAAGAGAAAGGAAAACCAGTGGAAAGTATGGTGAAAAGTCAGACATGCCAATAGGCAAGCTTTCCCTGAAGAAATTGAAGCCAACAAAACAATAGATTATGGTTGTAAGGCTAGTAAGAAAGAAAGAAGAAGGATCGTTGAAACATTAGTTGAATAATTACAAATATAACTTATGCGGATCATATTGCTTTTCCTCATAATGGAAAAAACCGCATTTGAATAAAAAACAGATTTCTAAAGTCCTCTTAAGTTCGACCATCAACTGTCATACACCTTGTTATTACTAGAGAAATACGGTAGGTAGCCTACAGATATACCCCCGGGCCGGAGTCATTCCAACACTTTCTACACATATGAACTTGAATTGATGAAAATTCTTAGCATTTGATATTTTCTGTAGCAGAAATCACCCTCACACATACAGTGGCCCGTACATGGGAGTTCTGACTTCCTGCAAAAACATCGATCTCTAATACAAATACAGATGCTGTGGTTTCTTTTGAGTACACAATGGAACATGGTTGTTTTGTTTTCAATGTATAATATAGTTTATAATCAATGGCATATTAGTTCAGTTTCTAATTTATTTTTATTTTCAAGAAATTCTGACTGTTCATGGTCTTGATTTCTCGGTCCATATAATCTCCAAAAGTTCAAAAAAAATTCCAATACCTACCTCCTGTCCCTATCCTCCCTAGGAACGCACGATGTTCTTTGAACATTATAGGGATTCCCTTTCGTGCGCTCCAAGCGATAAAAAAAAAAAAAAAAAAAAAAAATATTTTTTATTCAAGCTTTTTTTGGAAGAGGTTCGACGGCCGGGTTCGGTTTTGTATCGCGTTTTTAGTTACAAAAAGATATAAACTGTGAAATAGACACCTGAATAGAATTAGTATATAATTGACGGTTGTCGCAAATCGTTTGTTACTCCCGCATATAAAACTTTACAGAAATTTGACTCACTGCAATGTGTCTCGTGAGTTGAATGTTCAAACTCAATTGAAGTTCTCCTTTGATGTGATCTCGTTGTGAACACTGCCGATTGTATGCAAGTTGCCAAAGGATCCTTGTGAAGAAGCTGTGGTTTTTGACATTCTGGATTCTCACCTTGGATTTACTTTCAATTTGGTAAGCCGTCGTAAAACCTTCCAAAATATTTTTCATAGTATGGTTTATAGATATTGTGTCTTATAAACAAAATTCTAAACTATATTATTCGAACACAAAAGAATGGCCAACACGATAAAATTATCGTGAACTGCCTGTTTCACTGCATTCCGGACAATTGCTTCAACAGTTTCCTTATATGCAAGAATAGTCTTGGGAAGGGTTTCAATAGCTTGCCGCCGGCATGTTTCTTGCTGAATTTGTCTCAAGTGACTTTGTAAAGGTAAACATGGACGGTGGTGAGCTCTCTGAATCACCGTCGTAATAGAACCGCTTACACCGTCAAACCTCGAGATGTTCACATGTTCTTTGAAGACGAGTGTACACAACAACTATTAAATTTCAATATTTCATTAATTTGATATAATTTTTATGAATCTGAATGGAATATATTCGGATGAAAATGTCGAGGAAAGAGCTTTCCTATTCCTTCCATTCCTATAATTCAATCAAACGATTCGGCAATGAGGACGAGAAGGAATGATTTTGTTTCAGCCACCATTTTGAATTTCACTCAATTTTATAAATAAATCTTGAGATGAATTAAATGTCAAACTGATCTTCACTCAATGATGTAGGTATTTCTTGTATTGTTCTTTTCGGGAATTTGAAATGTGATCTCATGTCTTCTCTTGGAATTAGGTGGAGAATTATAAGCTCCATAATGCTGGTCTTGAGGGCGAATTTTTGAGATAACTACCTCAGTCGTTCATGTAATGGGTGGGCCATCTATTGGTCCGATTTTGAACAGCCAGTCGATAATGGCGCTGTCAACTTTAGCGCCATAAGTTGTTGATTCTAGGTTAGTTCTAACCTTCCGGTGAACGAATATGGATCGGTTTTCTTTGGACCAACGCTTTGAAATTCTGAAAACTTATTTTGAATGTGGTTCTGTCATGATTGAAACATTGCGAAAATTGCGTACGAAATTTGGAAGAAATGCAGCGCCTACCGCGCGTGCAATTTGACGCCGCTGGACTTTTTTCTGTGGGGTACATTGAAGGGTAAAGTTTATGCCGACAATCCCCAAACAATTGATTACTTGAAACAGAATATTCGTGCCGAAATTGCCCAAATTGACCAGGAAACAGTGAACAAAGTGCTTGAAAATTGGTGTTCCAGGATGGCCTACTGCCGAGCCAGCCGTGGCCAACATTTCAATGAAATCATTTTCCATACTCAATCGGAAGAAACACTGTAGCAAATAAAGCGAAATTCGTTGCAAAAACATCAGCTTTTGTTTATTCAATGATCTACTCGAAATCGGACCAATAGATGGCCCACCCTTTATATTCTATTTTAGTTTTGTACAAATATTGATTGGAGGGGTTCTGTAGATGGTTGTCAGAATGTTTTATTCTAGTAATTGTGCTGAGGGATGACGTATGGCCGTAGTCCAGCAAAGGCCTGCATATGGATTTATAAATCTTTGTCGCTGCTGCGACGTTGCTGCCATTATTTTTGTAAGTAAGACTTTTGAAATTTTTTGCTCTCGATTTTATTTTTTGCTTAGAAATTTTGGAGTGGTATTTGAAATTCAGTTTATTGTCCAGATGGACTCCAAGGTACTTCAAGGTGTTGATGGAGTTGATCACATGATTGGCTATTGTCAATTGCCAATAGACTGCATTGTCAATGTGGTTTTGCAAGCGTGCCGTTGCGCTCTAAGTTTCTGTCATGTGATATCAGGGCAGTGTCATCGGCGTATTGTATGGTGTGAAGCATTGGTGATAAAGGGGCTCCTTGTGGTACACCTTGCTGTGCAGTGAACGAAAGGGACTTCGAATCATCTGTCTTCCAGAAAACTTTTAATTATATGAATGAGGTTAACTTGCACTTCTATGAGCATCATTTTAGTCCTTTATGCCACACACTATCGAATGCTTTTTTGATATCCAGGAAGCATGCGGCTGTTTTTTGGTTATTGAGTTTTGTTGATTGGGCATTTGAAACAAGAATAGTCAAATGATATATTGTCGACCATAGGTTTGATGATTTTTTCTAGCAGTTTCCCAAATATTGGTAGTAAGGTGATTGGTTTATAGTTTTCAACATTCGATCTATCGGGATCAAGTTTTGGGAGAACCACCATTTTTTCCAGTTTCCATAATTTGGGGAACAAATTATTCGTCAGGCAGAATTCGAAAATTTTAATTATGTGAGGTTTTTAAATGCGTTCCAAGTCCTTGCCAGGAGCTGTATTCTTTTGTGCAGCTAGTATTTCGAAATATATTTCGTGTTTTTCATCATTTTGGAGGTTATTGAAATATTCATTATACCTGTTATTTATCTCATTCATTTTCTGTAGATTGAAATCGGGAACATTTGTTTCTTGCTAATTAGTTTCGGAACTGTCCGCAAATAAATTTGCCTTGTCCTCATCTGTATAGTATTGTTCCATTGTCTTCAATTGTAGGAATCGTATTTTTTTGCTTACATTTCGAGAGTTTCTTTACTTCAATATAAAAATTTCTACCATTTGCATTATTGATTTCTCGACATGTTTGTAGCCTAGTGTGTTTTTTGTAAAGATTTATCATTTCGTGAATCTTCATATTGAACTTAGAAGAATGAGAGGCTTAAAAATTATCTAGAAGGAGGAGGATACATTAGTGAAAGGCAATATGGATTCAGAAAGTTGCATTCAACCACTCAAGCTGTAACAGACATTATACATATAGTAGCAAAAAAAAAGACTTGGGTATAGAAACTAGAGCTATGTTATGCGACCTATCGAAAGCTTTCGATAGTGTATGCCATGACATGCTTCTAAATAAGTTAGAAAAATATGGGATAAGAGGTTCAGCAATAAACTTGCTGAAATCATTCTTAAATGGTAGAAGGCAATATATTGTTCACAATAATATTACATCTGATATACAGTTGATCAAACATGGTGTTCCCCAAGGTTCGGTGTTGGGTCCGCTGCTGTTCATTTTATACATAAATGATCTACCATTATATGTGGACATAGCGGATACTTTTCTTTACGCAGATGACGCAACATTTATAATTAAAGCAACAAATACTACTACTACATTTGAAGAGCTATCAAATGAAACACAAGAAAAATATGAACAATACTTCAATGCCAATGTATTATGTCTGAATAAAGACAAGACCAAAATTATAGATTTCAACAAAAGAACGAATAATGATAACGAGAATAATGTGCGTTTACTGGGTTTTCATATAGACAGCAGTCTCAGCTGGAAAACAAAAATTACAGAAATAAATAAGAAACTGTCCAAAGGTCGTTTTGCTCTGAGGAGATTGAGAAGCGTGGTAAGCAAAGATGTTCTTAAAATAGCATATTTCGGTCTGATACAAAGTCATTTACAATATGGGATATTATTATGGGGTTCGGCATCATCAGCACATGATGTTTTTATATCCCAGAAGAAAATAATCAGAGAGATGGCTAGAGCTAACTTTAGAGATCATGCGAAACCTATTTTCATTGATTTAGAGATTCTCACGGTACCATGTTTATATATACTGGAAGCTATCTTATACGTACACAAAAATAAAGAGAAATATACTACGGGGGCACTGATACATGATTATAATTCTAAAAGCAAAGAGGTCATTGGAACAGCGAAAATGAAATTAGTAAAAACAGAAAAACAAACTGAAGTACTATGCGGTAAAATGTACAATACGCTTCCAAAAGAATGGAAAAACTATCCAATAAAAAATTTGAAATTTGTGGTGAAGCAGTCTCTTTTAAGTCAAGCATTTTACTCAATAAATGAGGTTTTTGATGTAGGATGGTCAATTGTATAAATAAAACAAGGCACAAATGAAATTGTTTTGAATTAAATTTTATACTTATGTGTTTTTCACGAAAAGGTGCTGATTTTATAGAAATTTTATTGGGTATGAGCGCATACCTTTCATATTATGTTAATCTCTTGCCATTGTTGACTTGTCTAAACAAATTATGTGTATTGTTTTTTTTTGCGGTGTACATAAATTTGTAACATAAAGACCAATAAATATCTTATCTTATCTTATTTAGTGAAGTTTTTGCTTCTGGAGTTGGATTCTGTCTATATTGCCTATACAATTTCCTCTTTGTTTTTATCAGTTTCATAATATATGGGGGTAATTCATGTGTTACAGTATATTACGCAATATGTGTTGTAAGAAGCATATTACGCACGAATGGAAAAGTTACGCACGTAGCCACGGAGCGGCGAGTGCGTAATTCCATGTGTGCGTAATTGCTTTACAACACGCATTACGTACTATACTTTACCTACTGCCATATAGTAGATCAAAAAAGTTTGGACAAATAGTCTGAATTATGATTCTTGACAGTTATGTCATCCACTGTTGACGGCGATTACGCGATCATGACTGGCGGAATAAACGAAAACTGTACGATGTGTTTACTGTGCGTAAAAAGCTGTATCTCATGTATTCTTGCCTATTTTCTATAATAGCCGTAGGTAAAATAGTTTTTATCTGATTACCGTTGAGCTCAATTTTTCATTGAATTTTGTGATTTCATTTTCCACGTCACTTTTTTTGTAGTTGTATCATGGGGAAGATAATTTTTTATTATTATTTTTCAAAATGGTTCATGCCAAAATAATTGAATTTTGTATGTTCACTTCAATTTTCAGGCTGAATTGACAGAGGGGGTGACTGGAGGTGAGAGACATAAACATAACATCCAATGGATACTACTATTGAATTGTTTCCTTGACATCTGAATTGAACTATTTTTTTTCTCAAAATCTTAATCAGAGTCAAAAATGTATCGAGGGTGTCTAGTTTTGAAATGAAAGCTATGTACTTGGGAATACTTCTCCAAAAATCAAGATGTCATCCATCTGCTGATAAGTGCATATAGTGAACGAGTTCCGATCAAATACAGAGCAGCAAGTATACCAAATTGCTCATCAATTGATGAAACAATTTTTCTTCTATCACTTCCAGTTTCACCGGAACCGACCCCAACTTCTGATTT